ATTTATTTTTTAGTTCTTGACAGACACAACATCTTTGTTTGTATGTGGTGCTGAGGATCGAACCTGGGCCGCACGCATGCCAGGGAGCACGCTACCGCTTGAGCCACATCCCCAGCCCCAGAGTATTTCAATCCTAACCTTAATCAATAACCAGTGGTGATAGTTAAATAGACTGAAATTTTGATAAGAAAGACTCAAAGGTGATGCTAAATGTTGGAGGCTTCTAGCTGAGAAATTTGGGAGAGGAGTATTGCTACAATAAAAATACACTAACAAATAGGACAGGAATTTGATTTAGGTATAAAGGTATGAGATTAATTTTGATCTTAGTAAATCAAAGTTAGATTAAAATGTACAAATAGCACTGTCACAACACTTGAAAATACAGAGCTGAGAGACTATTCAAAGTCAGGACTAAAAGTGTAGATTTGGAATCCATCAACAGAAGATAGTAGCTAAAACCAAAACACTGGACAATGAGAACCTGGGGAAGGAAAAACATGTGATCTAAGCCTTGGAAAACACCTCCTCTTGGGTATTTTAGGAGGAAAAAATGTAAGCAGAATGAAAAAAACAACAAAATTTAAAAAAAATAAGTTAAAGAAGAACCAAGACCACTGAAACTCCTGAAAACCAAAAACGTCTAAACAAGGCTGAAATTTGTTGAGTTTATTTTGTGTGAATTATTTGACTTCATGATCACTCGGGGACGTAGATTTCATACCTTTCTATTGACAAATGAAAGAACACAGAAGCTTATCAAGTTTAAGCCATATGCCCATCATTTGGCTGTTAAGGAGTTTTGGGTCAAAACGTGGAATCCATATTTCCCAGCTTCTGGAGACAAGTGGTCTCCACAGTGCACAAAATAAAATATTGTGGTGTGTGAGAAAATGTTAAAAATTCTGATGATTGACTGGGTACAGTGGCACACACCTACAATCCCAGTGACTTGGGAGGCTGAGGCAGGAAGATCACAGGTTCAGGCCAGCCTCAGCAACTTAACAAGACCCTCAACAATTTAGGGAGACCCTGTCCAAATTAAAAAATAAAAAGAGCTGGAGGTATGGTTCAATGGTAAAGTACCCCTGGGTTCAATCCCCAGTCCCCCCAAGAGGAGTGTATCTCATACACTCAAGAGGAGTGTATCTCATTCTTTTAAAATTTTGTTTTTGAATGTATTTATAATGTGATCTTATGTTAGTATGGTAATGGACACATATCAGATCTACATGTATAATTCATAAATTAATAAGTACATGTTCATTGGGGTATATGCTCAAAAAGTTTATTACTGTGAAGATGCATTTAAAATTTTTGTAAAAGACATATTGAGTTTTAAAAAAAGAAGTTCTTTGATCTGGCAGCAGCTAAATTTGGTATAACATTAAATGTGTCATAAATAAAGATAACAATTTTAGAAAAAAAATTGGAGAATATTGCTTCAAACAACTATGCAAGACTGCTTTTTGCCTTGTCTCATACTCAATAACAAACTGTATTTACTTCATCTGGTCATATTATCTTTCAAATGCAAACTAGTTTAATTTAGTTAAAATTGGTATTTTCAGAAATTCATGAGGGGGCTTTGGGCCATTTGCTGCTTTGTGTTAGTAGAAGGAACAGAGAGGCCTTGGACCAAGCAGACATAGTTCAAATACCAACTTTTACTTTATTGACCATGTGATCTCAGACAGGTTCTTAGTTTCTCTGAGGTTCAGTTTGCTCATCTATAAAATGGAGATAATGTTCATTTTATAAATTGCTGCAAAGTTTATAGTATTATAAAGAAATGGCTTGGCATTGTGCCTGGCATACAGTAGATAATTTTAAAATGATAGGAAATAGAAATAGTAGCTGTAGACAACATTGTGGCCCAAAAGTCATTTCTCCTCTAAAATCAGATTGCACATACTTTTGACAAAGTTTGTCCTATACTATTCTTAATTCAAGCTGGAAATTTATATGAGCATAGACTAAAAAGTATTCTCTAAATTCTGTAGGACAACTGCATACAGCCATGTGGGTGGGGGATGCCATTTACATGAACTATGATGGGAATAGCTGCCCCTGGTATGTGTAGAGTGGCAGCCCAGGAGATATGCTGGTAAAAACTAGAGGGCCAAATACATGGCAGCCACAAGGCCAAGGGAAATGAATGCCAGGCCCATGCACGTGTTGGTGGGATACTGAATGCCTCTCTGCTTGTCCAATGCTCTCCCCAGATCTGCACCCCTGACCTGGTGGTTTTCCTGGCTTGTGCCAACCAGAGGCTCAAGGAACGATTACTGAAGCGTGCAGAACAACAGGGGCGTCCAGACGACAATCTCAAAGCTACCCAAAGAAGACTAATGAATTTCAAGCAGAACGCAGCTCCGTTGGTTAAATACTTCCAGGAGAAGGGGCTCATCATGACAGTAAGTTAGTTCTGCTCTTAGTGTCCACACAAGAATGACCTGTCAGATTTCTCATTATCCTATGTTCTCATATAGAAATCCCCTTTGCTCTTAAAAGTGGTTTTTGGTGAAGTATAAAACCAATCAAGAAAACCGATCATTTTTACCTGTTTGCCTTATTAAGACATAATCATTTTTTAAAAAGTCAGTTTGTGAAAGGTGATAAATTCTAACCTCGTCTAGAATTCTATAGTCCCTGAGTAAAAGAGTGTTTTTAAAGGATTATTGGGGGTTGTTTTAAGCAATTCTTGCCCAACTTCTTAAATCTTTTGTCTTTGAAAATGTCACAAAATGGTAAGATTTATAAACAACAGTTGGCATAGTTTTAGAGTATATTTGGATTGCAGGTTTTGTTTATTGTATTGCGCTACCTAAAGAAATGAGATTCTGACTTGAGGAAAAAATTTTCTGAGGGTTTGACTTGTCATAAAAAGGGATAATATATTAAAATGGGAGTCATTAATTTTTCTGCTCATTTATCAAAAGCAAATATTAACAGATATAATACAGAAATCAATGTTTTCCTAAATGTTTAGTTTGTTTTCTAGTTAATAGTATTCCGTGTGCCAAGGAAAGACGACACTGAATCATTAATTAATTCAGTTTTTAGAAATAAAAGGCTTAGCTCAATTGATGATTTCCCACAATATCAGTTTCCAGTATTAAATCACAGGGAAACAAACAAGATTGTAAGTCATCTGAAGGAAGTTCTGTATGCAGGAAGCCACAAAACCACAGCAGTTCCATGAGAGCAGAACCCTCCTCTCAGCCCTGACCTCTTCCCACCAGAACAAAGACCCTTGTCCAAGGGGGTCACAAGCCTCCATAGAGAATTCAGTGAAATCAATGCATGTGTATCCCAATAAAATACACAGACATTTTCCACATTTAAGTAAATCAACTGACACCCACCCACAGAGCCCCTGTGACCTTACAACTCCTGGGTTAGAACTTTCTTCATTAGACTAGGATGCCCTTAGACCTGAAAGAGACAGTCATGACATTTGAATAATGATCTTTTTGCAGTCTCAAAATATTCATTACATTTTGCTCTTTGAGCCAAAGTTGTCATGTCAGAGAGTTGTAAATTTGATCTGAAAATTATTCATAATGCCAGAGTTCATTTTTTGGTTTAAAACAGAGTAATGATAAAAATTGAGTAATAGGAAAGATTTAGGAAAAGTAAACATTTCTGTGGCTATTTTGGGTTGGGGGTGGTTGTGTATGTGTCTGTTTTCTCACCAATTACCAGTGCTGACTTCTACATTGTATCATGAAAAAAATAAATTTACCCTGTAGATCAAACCCCAACTACATTCTGAAAAGCCAGAGTTTTAATTGATGTTTGCAAGGCTTGAAGGTATTACCAGAGTGTTTCTGATTACTCCCTGCTTGTCACATTCGTCATCACAAGCAGAGCAGATTTCCCAAATGAATGCAGAGTGGGGATTGTTAATTCACTAATATTTTGCATGGAGGTGAAATGCCATTGCCTCTAATTGAGGGAGTCAATAACAGTGTGGATGACAGCCTGTAACCTTACTGCTGAAACCAAATGAGCTTTAAGATAAACACCTCTAATTACCGGGAGAAGACTTGCCTTGGAAAGTCACCTTTTGGAAAACAGTGAATACAGGCTAGGCTCTGGGGAACATAATTTGAAAAACAGTCTGACAAAGAAGCAGGTACTGCATCCTGAAACACTTGTTCTCTTTCAGAACTCAGATCATAGTTCGCTTTCGGAATTGAAGTGCATTTGATAGATCTTCTGCTTTTAAAAATGAGTTAAATATAAAAATAGTCATCCTGTGAATCACATGAATGTTAATATTTTAACTAAAAATCTGCAAGTTAATAGATTAAACCCAAATACATCCTTTTCCCTGTGGTCTCTCCACTGCCTGCCTTTGCTTCTGCCTGCTGCTCCTAGTGATTCATTTATTCATTTAGTAAATGTTAATTGAGAACCAAGATACTCTGTTAGATGCTAGGTGGGCAAAGCTAAATGAATAAGGGATAAGGTTCTTCGCTTTATTCACTGACATATTCTGAGCACCTGGAGTAGTACCTGCCCAACACATAGTAACCCCTCCATAAGTGAACTTGGCTTATAGTCTGTGGGAAAAGAGATACTAAACAATGGGTTGGTTATCCAGTGTGATGATTGTGGAGTTATTAGGTGAGAGTGATTATTGAGTGTGAGAACGTGCACGGTTTCCTCACATATGTCATGTACTGTGTTAGGGACCAGAAGTCACTGTAGTGAGTAGAATAAACTTTCCCCACTCGGAATAAGAGGAATCATTTATCTCCAAAGAAGCCTTTTAAGAACCACAGGGACCATGTCTGTCCTTAATCCAGCTGAGAAATGTCATTTTGGCACTCGACTTCCTAGGGCTTTGGAGTCTCAACCCTCTCATTTGCAATCTCAACATCACTACTATTTAATAATTTCATGATGCCCACAATGTGCTAAACATGCTGTAAGTTGTAGAGGATGTTACCAACATGGCAATGCTGTGGAGGTCAAATGAGAGAAAGCGTGTAACGTGATAGTGGGTGGCAGTGCAGACACTGCAGCCTCAGATTCCAGCTGTACCACCTGCCACCTGTGTGGCCTCCTGAAGGTTGCTTATCTTCTCTGTGACTCACAGGCCTTGTCTATAAAATGGACACAACCATCAAACCTATGCTCATGTGATTTCAAGGAGTAATGGATGTCCAGTGCTTAGAATGATGTTTGAAACATTGTGAGGGTAATTTGTTAATTAATATTATTTTATAGTTTTTGCATTTCTTCCTCTTGCGGAGTGGGGATTGTTAATTCACTAATATTTTGCATGGAGGTGAAATGCCATTGCTCTAATTGAGATTTCTTCCCTGTCTCATGCTCGTCTCCTGGAAACTATAATTACCATTGACAATTTTGTACTCTTTGGGGGAACTCTGTTGCCTTTTCTCTCATAGATAGATTATTGAAGAAATCTAACATTAATAATTTAGGTTTTAAAAACTTCATGCCAAATTTACTTTTCTTTAAGTGTTTGTTAATCAGTTTTAAAGTTGATCCGGTGTTTTCTTGAACTTCTATATTGCTGGTGCAATCAAGCTAATGATGACTGTGTCTGAATAATGTAGTTTAATTGCAACAGATATCAGTCAATTCATTCTTTTTTCTTTTTTTACTTCATCATTGATTGGGCACTTGTTGATGGATTTGACTAAAGAATTAACTTCTTATTTTTTAGAAATATTTTTCCTAATTTTTGTATGTGTGTTAAAAATATCCCTTTGACTGAAGAGAAAAATCTAATAATAACAGCCAGGAAAAGCGTGCTGTTGCCTGACTACTATATCTTATTGTCATGATTCCCATCACATGGATCTCTTCATTTCCATTATTATCTTATATGTTCTGTATAGAGCATGAATTTAAATAACATGAAATCATAAAGCTTCTGTATTAGGGAATTCTGCATAGAATCTTCTCTGACATGTTTGTGTGTTGTTTTTAACTTGTCATCATATTGGATAAAATTCTCCTCGTATCTTTTATAGTTTTATGTTAATAATTAAAGATAAGGATGCAGTGAATTGGTCAGATGTTATTCATGGGAATTTGAGTATTATTGAAACAAAGAAAGTTGCCTAGTTAGCGTTACCAAGTGAGCTATGCCTCATGACATTTTGGGGGACTTGAATTTTATAAAATTACAAAATTCTTGAATAATAATTTCCCTTTAGTAGAAATTTTTTAAGGCCTCAATAAAAATGTCTATTTTTTTAAAAGTGATTTTTTTATCTTTATTTTTAAAAGCTTTTTAAAAAATCTTTTTTAGTTACACGCAGACACAGTGTCTTTATTTTGTTTATTTATTTTTATGTGGTACTGAGGATTGAACCCAAGCACTCTGCCACTGAGCCACAACCCCACCCCTTAAAAGCTTTTTAAAACAAAATTTGTATTTCTTTTAGTCATGTTCGGGTGGGTTTTTTGTTTTTGTTGTTGTTGTTTTGTTTTTGCGGTGCTAAGGATCACACTCAGGGCCTCAGTGCTTTTTAGGCAACGGGGAGCCATAATCCCCAGCCCAAGGCTTTGTAAGCTTGAAGCATTCTTTTGAAAATAAATGCAGTTTTGTTTATTTTTTGAAAAAGGAGTCTTTTAAATGCTTGGAAAATGATAGGACAAGATGTAATGTCTCTGTTATTTTTCAAAATATATTCAAAGCTTTACACCATTGAATGTTCCATTAAACTGGAAAAACCGGCCACTCTCCAGGGAAATGGCTGCACAGTTGTGTACATTGAACAAATGCTTCTTAAACGTGGGTGATAGTTAGTGAACAGCCACGTTTAACTTCAGACTATGAAGTAAGCAAATGGTCATTTTCCTTCAGGACTGTTTGTAGGAGGAAGCAGAAAAGTATACTTAAAATGAGAAGGAAGCTGTAGTCACAGGATATACAGAGAGGCTGACTAACTCATAGCCACGTTTACTAGCTGGAGTTCTTCAGGCAGGAAAGGCATGGGCTGAAAAATATCAAAATCGAGGTTGTTTCTTATTCACCAACACCATTTTTTCTGCTGAAGTAAACCCAGGCTTTAGCAGGGCTCTATACTCCCTAATTTCAGTATTTACTAGATCAGAGAAAATATTTTTTTTTTTAATGGGGCTAGGATGAACTTGGATTTTTTAATTTCACAAAGCGAAGGCATTAGAAGAAAAGAACCATCTATTCTTGCTATTATTTAAAAGGGATATTTCTAACAAAAAGATTAGGAATGGTATTTCTCCAGTTTCTAAACAAATGTTTGGCTGTTACAAAAACTACTAACATCTAACTTATTTCTCTCATTTTGCTGAGGATTAGGGAACATTTCATTACAAACTAGCCTTGGTGCTTGGGAACCACAACACAGAAGACACACTCTTGTGAAAACCTCCTGCATTTATTCTTTAG